GTCATTCAGCCGATATTTCTGCTAGTACCTTGAGCTACAGGCGAAATTCCGCTTATAATCTAGTCGGTATTTCGTCTGAAACTCCGTTTGCTAGGCGAAATATAGGACTGGGCGCCTCTACCAGTCGAAATTCCGCCTAAATGGGGACATTTATTTTTGACTGTGTACTTGTGGCGGCACCTAGCGAGTCCATATAACTTTCATATGGTTTGTTTATTGAAAAAATGGTAGGGGAAAATGTGGAGAGGAAGCAGTTTATTGAATGTATAGGCATAGACGTTCCACTCGCCAGGAGGCAGTGTAAACTGACTTTTCGATGACATTCAATATTAAAATATGCAAACATTGTCGCACTGAAATTACAAAATGAAACACGTTTGGTTTCGTTGACTGCCAATATTCAATTGCTTCTTTAATCAAAAATCAAAATTCAAAATATGTAAATCACATTGTCAAGGAGTATGAACTTTCATTATTTGTTGATATTGCAAACGTACTTTGAAATATGAATTGCTTAGGTTTCATTCTTTATTTGATGGATTTTCCAACATGTTACTTTGCTGTGGTTGAAAATTTGCTGTACGATCTGAATTTGATGCTGTGTTTGGTGTTGTAGCTGTATAGAAGTAAAAATCGGTAATATTTATCACTAGCAAATTGGCTGCGCTTCGCTCAGCTCTTTGATAGTGCTGCGCAGCCGAAATAAATAATAACAGTACGAGTAGAAAAGAAGTGCGTAATAAACAAACAAGAACGTACAGGTTTCGGCAACGTTGCATTATAGCGATTATGAATGAACGTAATGAGAAATGTAGCGAGAAATTACGTTCATTCATAATCACTAGTGAAGCCACGTCGCCAAAACATGTACGTTCTTGTTTCCTTACTGCGCACTTCTTTTCTACGGCGAAGCAGACTGCTTTGTTGATCTGTATAACAATACGGGTATAAAACATCGGCGCTCCGAGGTTTTCATACAATCTTCCCATGTCTTCCAAGACGATCCGAAACAGGCAAAAATCGAAAAAAAAGTTAAAATTTTTTTTCGATTCTCATAAAGTATTCTTCACTCAATTTATGCAGTGGATAAATTGGCGACAAGTTTTACGTCGGTTGGACAGATCCATGTTGACTGTAGAGTGGCTTGAGTTAATTAATGAACCATGATTTGAAAAATAACAGAGCATTCGATGCAAAAAAGGAATTAATTCAAAATTGAAAAAAAATTGATGCTAAATGGTAAATAATTCAAGATTGATGTCAAAGACAAGAATACTAACTCGCCAACTCAGTGGATGGCTACAACATAGAACAAAATCTAAATTTACAATAAATAGGTGTAAAAATCACAGATAATTATCTTATTTTCTATACAAACAGAAGGAATGTATAGAAAACAATTCGTCAGTCTTTTCGTATTGGTATTGCTGTGTGATTTGTGTGAGTTGAGTTGAATACCGCGTGGATGGTAGGAATTTGGGGGTCAGCCTCGCTCATGTTTATTGCTATCAGCAGCAACCCAAAGAAAGTGGCACACGGGCAATCTGCGCTGTCCATGATGGATTCGTCGGCTTCGAGATCATGGATCGGGTTTGACGGCAACATGAAAATCGTAATTCCAGTTAGTGGGGGTAGTATCTACGTGTTCTCGTAGAGAACATATACAAAAAATGAGGTTATCTGGATGAAAAATTGACTAGGCGGCCAGGTAGTCATTTGAGTTTGCAAAGCGATCCAAAAGTGGTGTCCGTCATTTTGCGAACCGATGATGCAAAATTCGTCTTTGAGGTCGCTGCTGTGAACAGTTCCGGCACCATGTTCGCCATTTTGCACATTTGAGGAACTGGAGCCTTGCGCACCAACTTCATGTGCTTGTCATTGACCTTGAATTGTTCACTGTGCCTCAACGAACGGCCATGATGAAATGAGACTTGGTCTCTAACTGTTGGACAGTTAGCGTTACCGTTGATGATGTCGTAAAAGAAAGTCAATGACGCGTTGACACGTCGACGGCGAAGACTAATCATGTTCAAGTCTGACAATCGCTGCTCGTACGGTGTGATTGAGTATTGGTTATGCACGGATGGGTATTCTCGGCGAGCATACATAGTGAATTAGCGTTGCACGGATTCAATTTTGTCGCTGTGGATCTTGTGGAATGGAAGCCATACCATGGCGCAGTAATCGAGGTGAGATTGAACCAATGCAAAATATAGCGACTTAAGTGTGGTAACGTTGGTGATATCGTGACAGAAGCGTTTGACAAAGCCAAGTGCAGCCGTTGCCTTCGAAGTGACCATGTCGATGTGTTTGGCAAAAGATAGCTTTCTGTCAATTGGGACACCCAAGTCCTTGTGTTCAGTCACTTTGTCGAAGGTGTGGTCGCCATAAGTGTAGCTTGTATCCAAATGCTGACGTTTCTTGTAGATAGATAGCACTGCACATTTTTTGAGGTTAAGGTGCAGCAGATTCACGTCACACCAATGTTTAAGTTTGTCGATGGCTTGTTGTAGCATCTCCGAATCTTGCTGAGACTTGATGATTTTGGCTATTTTGATATCATCAGCAAACAGTATTGTCATGATGTTTGGGGGCATTTGATCCACGATGTCGTTGATAAATAGCAGGAACAGTGTTGGTCCAAGGTGGGACACCCCCTGTGGGACACCCGACGACGCTGTAAAATCATC